AAACATTATCTTTATCCAAATCGATATTTCCAACGGTTTTCGAGTAAATTGAGTTTGAAAATTACTCTGCTCTTTAAGTTATTAGGCCAAAAATTACAAAAATATGTTTACCATGGCAAATAAAAGACTGACGTTGCCACAACGCTTAACAATTGAAGTTATTGATAAACTATCAATTGAGCTTTGCAGTGTTTAATTAGTAAAAGTGGTGAGTGGAAAATTTAAGTATACAATATTATTGCAACTCATAAAATGGAGTCATATTCAAACACGCAAATGGCAGATATGCACTTTATGTACGGCCGTGCGGCTGGAAATGCATCAGAAGCGAGGCGTCTGTATGCGGCAGCATACCCGAATAGAAGACTTCCTTCTCGACAGGTATTTCAGAGGATCCATCAACGTTTAAGAGAAAATTGTTCGTTCCAACAAATTTGTAAGAACACCGGTGATGGAAGAAAATGTATTGAGAGCTGTGCAGGACAATCCAAGGGTTAGTGTAAGAAGTGTCGCACGTATGCATATTGCATAACATAAGTTTTTCCATAGTTTGGCGAATTCTTTGCGAACAACTACTTCATCCTTTTCATATCCAGCGTGTTCAAGCTTTAAATCCGAATGAACGAAACATGTCGGCAGCTCTGCCAATGGTTTTTTCGAAAATCGAGGCGGATTCCAAATTTTGCATCTCTTACTTTGTTTACGGATGAGGCAAGCTTCAGTAAAGATGGTTATGTCAATTTTCATAACGCCCATGAATGGGCTGATGAAAACCCACACAGCATATTTCAGTCCAGACATCAGATTCGGTTTTCCGTCAACGTTTGGGCAGGCATTTTAGGCGATCGGCTAATCGGACCATTTGTGTTGCCTAATCGATTGAATGGTGTGGAATATTACAATTTTCTATTTAACGACTTGCCAGGACTTTTGGAAGATGTCCCTTTAATTGAACGCCAAAGCATATGGTTTATGCAGGACGGGGCGCCACCTCATTATCTACATAATGTAAGACAACACTTAAATGAGTTGTATGGAGAAAAATGGATAGGCCGAGGAGGTCCTGTTCCCTGGCCTCCACGTTCCCTTGACCTTAACTTGACCTTGACTATTTTTTGTGGGGTCAACTTAATAAGGTTTATAAAATTCCAATTGAGACCATTCAGCAACTACGGGAGGGAAGTGAAGCCGCGTGCATGGAAATAAGGCAAACACCTAGAATTTTCCAAAGAGTTCGCAAATCATTGAAGCATCGAGCTAGATTATGCATCGAAATGCAAGGTGGTCACTTCGAGCAGTTCTTGTAATTTAACTTATTATTATTAATTTTAATCCCATTATTTTCTATTTCACATTTAGCTGTCTGCAGTAGTAATTAGTTCTTAATTAGTAAGTGTAACTCTAAATTTAAATAGTCTTAGTTTATGTCCTAAATTATTTATTAAATGATCGGATCCTTCATAACTGCAGTTTATTTGAAAAAAAAAACAGTTTTGTTTGAGCCCTTTTAAGGGCATATAAATTCCTAAGAATACGTTCTAGGCCACATGTTAATAGAAACTTTTTGGCTTATTTTAATGAGTTATAAACGCAGCAGAAGTTTGGAAACCTATTTTAGAAACACCCTGTATATGTTTATCTATTAAGTATTACATACATTTCGCAGACTTTTTGTTTTTCAAAAACCTAATAATATAATTGTTACCCCGCTGTGAAAGTAAAATAGTGTTTTTATTGTCCCATTTTAGGGTAACATTATTACTATTGTAAAATGATACTTTTCCAATATTGCATACATTCAATGAGGTAACGTATAAATATTATTAGTTTTGCCGGATGCGCCGGTGATGTGATATAAATGACAATTTGTATCCTAAATGGGACTAATTATCTAGATTTGTTAAATCAACAATAAAAATTAATGCTTTGTTTAAAAAAAGGTGTTAGAAAATTTCCGATTTATTGCTGCAACTCCGATTAGTTGCACCTAATTAAGCGTTTTTAATTTATATTTAACGCAGTGTTATATATAACCGCAAATAAAAAAAGCGCTTTTAGAAAAAGAACTGGAATTAGTAGACCTACTTTAGTACCTATGTTTCTGTAAATTTCAAATATGTTTACGAAAATCACGTTAAATATGTTGCTTAATAAGTACTATACTTTTTCGTCATAATTGTTGAAAATAATTATATACACGGTTTTGTTTCAAATATTTAATTTTTATTAACTTTTAAAGTATTAACTATTATTTCAAAAACTCGGTAGTATTTTAAAATATAGAAAATTGTTAATATTTGCTAAAAAATGTGATAGAAGTTACACCTAATATTTAAGCAGAAACTAAAGTCAATAATGATAATATTATGTATATAAGACGTACAACGTATTCAGAATCAGAATCTTGCTCAGCGTGCAAAAATAGACCAGAAACTAGATATCGCATGTGAATCACAGGCCACAATATTCTTTCTTCAGATTTCTGAAGATTCTTCAGCGATTTGCTGAAGACCGATACGTGCAAGAGCAAAAATGATGACGTATTCATATCCAGCACTCAAAAATACACCAGTAACCATTGCATGTGTTGGTCTGATACTTTTTTTCGTGGTGTAGTATAATGAGCCCCTGACCTTTGGGGGTGATTTTGGGGTGTTGGGAGCGGTTTCCGGGTTTAGTGCCCATGATAACTTTTGATCAGGATGCTCTAAAGAGTTCATTCCCAAAATTTGAGAGAGATCCACCGGGGATCCATTTGCATAAGGTTTGTGCGGGATCCTTTGGTATACGGGGGCTTTCGGGGTCGCTGATCACGGATCGTGGCATCATGCATCAGCATTTCATTCATTCATTTTCATTAATAATAAATTAGAGCTTACAGTATTTGCCTATGCTCATGGTACCAAATATGCGAAAATATATCTGCCACACATTAATATACAGTAGGTACTATACGTACATTTCAACATCGTAATCTTTGCAGATGTACCATTTATATGTGGTACTTATGGCACCACATATTTTTCTCTTTTACTAAAACAAATAATTTTCATATATTAAAGCCTTTTTACATTTGGAAATATACAGGGTGTATCTTAAGTGATGACTTTAATTTCAAGGGGTGATTCCTTGTCATATTTTAAGCAAAAAAGTGCATATGAACATCGGTCCACAAGTGCTTCGTTACCGAGATACAGGGTGTCAAAGTTGGGAAAATAAATCGCATTTTTTTAAATATCTTTCGACTGATTCGAAATAATTTAATGAAATTTCATACACGGGGGTTTTTTGGAATGACAAATTCAAAGCTGTGGTCAATTTAAGTGTATTGTTTTGAGAGCGCCACCGGCAACGATTTTGGCCTCTTTAATCCATCGCAACTTTTTTCTGCTACCCTGTATGCCATTTTGGACTAGAATAATCGATTCTCCTACCTTATCTGCTTAAAAAAGATTTTAAAGAAATGTTTTTTTGTTGAATACAAAAATTCCGGTGATAACAAAATTCCGATGATATTTGGCATTAAAAGTGACAAGATACTGTCAGTTGACTATCTTTTAGTGCGCAGTTAACTATGAATAACGTTGAACAAGCTCAAATACATTTCATTTATAGGCTAGCAGATGGAAATGCTGCACAAGCCCGTCGAATTTACCAGGAACGATTTCCCAATAGACCACTTCCATCAGAAGTAACTTTCATAAGGCTCCATGCTAGACTGTGCGACACTGGATCTTTAAATGCTCACGCTGAACGTATTGGTAGACCGAGAACAATAATGACACCACAACTAGAAGAGCAATTCTACAAGAAGTGGAAGCTAATCCGTCAAGTAGTACGCGAAGATTATCTAACAGTTTAACATGTCATCAAAGTGTTTGGAGGGTTTTGCACACAAATTTACTTTATCCGTACCACATTCAACGCGTGCAACTGCTGATACCAAGAGATTTTCCTGCACGGTTACATTATTGTCGATGGTTTCTCCAAAAAACTACACAGAATCCCAACTTTACGTCTAAAATTCTGTTCACAGCATGATATGAAAATCCCCATGTTATTGGAGAACATGGATTTCAGCAGCAGTTTTCGGTGAATGTGTGGGCCGGAGTTATTGGTGATCATGTCATCGGACCGCATTTTCTTCCTCCTCGACTGAATGGTGAGACTTACAGACAGTTTCTAGCTGAAACATTGCCTGGTCTGTTAGAAGATGTACTACTAGCAACCAGAAATGACATGTGGTTTATGCACGACGGGGCACCTGCTCATTTCAGTCTTGCTGCTCGCCAACATCTTAATGACACTTTTGCTCAGCGATGGATAGGTCGGGGAGGACCTCAGCCGTGGCCAGCACGATCTCCAGACCTAAATCCTCTGGACTATTTCTTTTGGGGACATCTGAAGTCGCTTGTTTATGCAACGCCAGTTGTAGATGAAAATGATTTAAGAAACAGAATTGTAAATTCTTGTAATGTCATACGCAACACTCCAGGAATTTTGGAACGTGTGCGACAGTCGATGAGCAGAAGATTACATGCTTGTATTGACAGTGGCGGTTCTCATTTTGAGCATTTGATTTAATTCAATTTTTATGATATTTCCAGCTCAAGTAAGTTTAAATGCGTTTTTCATGGAAACGGTTGCTCCTAGCTACTTCATTATTGGCGCCCTCAAAAAAATACACCTAAATTGACCACAGCTTTGAATTTGTCATTCCAAAAAACCCCCGTGTATGAAATTTCATTAAATTATTTCGAATCAGTCGAAAGATATTTAAGAAAATGCGATTTATTTTCCCAACTTTGACACCCTGTATCTCGGTAACGAAGCACTTGCGGACCGATGTTCATATGCACTTTTTTGCTTAAAATATGACAAGGAATCACCCCTTGAAATTAAAGTCATCACTTAAGATACGCCCTGTTTTTTGGAAACAATACAATTATATTATTTAGTTTTGGGAATTATTCTCTAACTAGTCGTGTTTTGTTTTTCAGATACCGCTGCACCGTATGTCCTCTATAAGGATGGAATGGACCGAGCGCAAAGCCAGTGGGGCCCGCAAGATGCTTACCCGCCCCCACAACAGCAGACAACGACAGGGGCGGGTAGTCCTCAGCAAGCCCTCGGCCCCACCGTCCCACTTGGTGTTGAAGCGGATACCGTGCCGCCTCGGGACCAAAGCTTACCTTCACCGGCACCATCCCCTTATCCTGCGACACAGGCTGAACCCCGAGAAGACGAAATACAGCCTGAACAGCCTACAATGGACTTGGAACCCCGACCGGCCTCTCAGTGCTTTTCCGCCGATCTGCAACAGCAGCAGCAACAACAGGCCTACCAGCAATACGCCAGAGCCCCACCCCCGGCGGCGCCGCCTCCCGTCCCACCTCACATGCTAGGCGCGGGCAGCTTCTCTGCTTTACAGTATCTCAAACAGCCCGGTGTGATGTTGACCAGCCTAGGCCCCGACGGAAGTGGCCAGTTGGACCAGTACACAAACATGCAAGATCTGAGGACTGCGTCGCTACCGGACGTGATCCAGCAACAACACGCAGGGCTCAAGAAGAACAACAACGGGCTAAGCGGCGAGCTAAGGCTCTTCAAATGCTTGACATGCGGAAAGGACTTTAAGCAGAAGTCCACGCTGCTCCAACACGAAAGGATCCATACGGACAGCAGGCCGTACGGATGCCCGGAATGCGGCAAGAGATTCCGCCAGCAGAGCCACCTGACCCAACACCTCCGGATCCACGCCAACGAGAAGCCCTACGCCTGCGTATACTGCGAACGGACGTTCCGACAGAGGGCCATCCTTAACCAGCACCTACGAATCCATTCCGGTGAGAAGCCCTATGAGTGCCCGGAGTGCGGGAAACACTTCCGGCAGAAGGCTATCCTCAACCAGCACGTCCGCACACACCAAGGCGAGCGCCCCGTTCCTTCATAGGCGGCGGCCACTCTCGCAGCCCCGTGACCAGTCGCTACTTGTTGTGCCGCACGACGGGCGGTTAGAGTTGGTCTGCTGCACTCCCCCCACATTCTAGTCACTCTTTTGTTTCTCTAGTCGCAGTTGGTAGACAGTGTTCGCCGTCACTCGCAGACGGAATACTAAAAAAATATACCTAGATCTCCTCCGAAAACTCTAGTGAGTAGATTAACAATCTCCAACGGCATAAATTCATTGGAGGAAGGAAGTATTCCAATACTTTCGAAAATAATAAAATTTTTTCCTTATATTCTGAATTATTCAAATCTAACCGCATATGTTCAATATACAGCGTGGTAAAAAAGTTCTGCATAAAATTCATATTTTCATTAAACAATTTTTTTTCGAAATACGGTGAGACCCGTCGATTTTTACTTGATCCAGGGCACCATGTTATGTGGAAAAAATTTTTTTTCGATAATCCACTTACGGTAGCGATGACATAATTTTTTTTTAAATGACAACGCATATTTTTTTCGTTCGAAATTGATGACAGTGAATTATCGAAACAACGGTGTGAAAATTTCGATGTCTTACATAACAATTTTTTTAGAAAAATGCACCTTAAGTTCTTGAATGCAATAATTTGCTGTTTACGGATCAAATGCCTAAGAAAAAAAATTATTCGGCAGAAAGCATTTCAGATAACTTAAGTTGCAACTGGTGTTATGTAATATTTGCGGAATTATTCATCAGATATTGTCAGGATCCTGATTAAACTGCAAAATTTAGAACCAAGTTCAACCGCACAAAATCCAAATAGTATGTAGCAAATTAAGGTCGACTTTTTGTCTTCGAGTTTGCCGATAAATTCCTCAAAAAAAAAAGATCCAAAGAAATGTTTACTTGAAAGGAGTAGATTACCTGAAATATTGAAGACTAAAAATCAGTACCGATTTAACATTCTTTGGTGAAATCGTTTAATTCGAAATGGCAAAACTTAGTGAACGCGAAAGAATTGATATTTTGAGGATGATTGGTTTCGGCGATAAGTTACGAACCCATCAAGAAGCTTGCCAATTATTTAATGCAACGTACCCTGACAGACCACCAATTACGCAATCTACGGTTAGTAGGGTACTGGCAAGGTTTGAGGAAACTGGTAGTGTGAAAGATGCTCCTCGTGCGGGTCGTCCTAGAGTAGATGATGAAACTAGATTGAATATCCTGGTGGAGCTCCAGGACAACCCTCATTCTAGTACAAGGTCGATTGCATTGAACAATGATATTTCACATGTAACTGTGGTGAACTTTCTCAAAAAAGAGAAATTTCACCCCTATAAGGGTCACTTGATACATGCATTGACTGAGGACGACCCAGACCGCCGTCTCCACTTTTGTGAAGATTTAATGCATCGATGTAACGGAGACCCCGACTTCCTCAAGAACATAATTTTTTCTGACGAGGCTACTTTTTATCTTAATGGATCGGTGCATCGACATAACTGCCGGTATTGGTCTCAGGAAAACCCGCACTGGGTGCAAGAAGTAGATCATCAGCACCCCCGAAAGGTGAACGTTTGGGCGGGAATAATAGGGCGTCGTATTTTAGGCCCGTATTTTTTCGAGGAAAATTTAACTGCTGCTCGCTATTTGGATTTCCTGCGGTTCGATTTGGTCCCAAGCTTAGCAGAGTTATTCCCGAACAACGAGGATCCTGATATTCCTGAGGAAAGAATTTGGTTTCAGCAGGATGGTGCACCGCCCCATTATGGAGTGCAAGTACGGGAGTACTTGAATAACACGTTTACTGGCCGGTGGATCGGGCGACGCGGAACAATCGAGTGGCCTCCGCGTTCGCCTGATTTAACACCTCTAGACTTTTTTTTGTGGGGCTATTTGAAATCGCGTGTGTACACAAACAGACCAGGTGATTTGGAAGAACTTAAAAACCGTATTCGTTTTGAAATAAATCAAATCGACCCGGGAATGCTTGAACGAAGTGTAGACGGCGTTTACACACGCTTAGGACAATGCCAAATGGTACAGGGTGGGCAATTCGAACAATTTCGCTAGACTTACACAAACATTAGTGTAATTTTACTCGTTTGAAATGTAATTTTGTCAACTTTGTCCTTTTCGGAGCCATTAATAGTGTAAGTAGACAATTATCACTTATAAGAACTTAAGGTGCATTTTTCTAAAAAAAATTGTTATGTAAGACATCGAAATTTTCACACCGTTGTTTAGATAATTATCACTGTCATCAATTTCGAACGAAAAAAATATGCGTTGTCATTTAAAAAAAAATTATGTCATCGCTGCCGTAAGTGGATTATCGAAAAAAAAATTTTTCCACATAACAAGGTGCCCTGGATCAAATAAAAATCGACGGGTCTCACCGTTTTTCGAAAAAAAAATTGTTTAACGAAAATATGAATTTTATGCAGAACTTTTTTACCACGCTGTATATATAGTGTGTATCAGCCAAATGGAATAAATTCAATAATAAATAGATGAGGGCGTGTCCGAAAAAACGCTCGGACACGTCGATTGGTATTTTTAATTGCGCATTTTTATCGACAAAAACTTTTTATGCAGGTTGTGTCATGTAACAGTGGTCAGTACCAACTTCCTTATTTTAAATGCAACACCCTGTATATTATTCTATTTTTGGATTCTTCAGAAAATTCAAGACATATTTTATATACGATGTCCTACACCTTTCTTCAACTGTTTCGGAAATATTAAATGTTTGCAGATTTATTGTAAAAATTAACATTTAAAAAAGAAAATTATTTGTTTACAGAAATTCGCTGCAACATACTCAAAAACTAATAAGTAATACTGTTTATTTATTGATAATATAAAAAAAGCAAAAAAAAAAAACATTAATGTCAATGTAGGAGATGTTCAAAATGCTCGACGCATACGTATTGGCAACATCCTATTATAATTTTCTAATTTACTATAATTTTTTCTAACGTTACTCAACATCTCAGACGTGATCGATCTAATTGCAAGCGTTATTTGTCCTTTTAAGTCAGCGAAGTCGAGGGGTTTAGTTTTCTGTACAATACTTGTGTTATATCCCCATAAGGAGAGGTTTAATGGTGTCAGATCAGGGGAAAGTGCTGGCCATTCCATCGCTCCTCGCCTCCCTATCCACCGATTTGGAAATATTCGGTTGATTTACTTAAACCATCTTACTCAAACCATATCATATTCGCTGGAACTTGTGGGTTTGCTGGATCAGGATATAAGTTTGTCAAAGTTGGCACGACATTATTTTAGAGCAGTGCTAAATAATTATCGCCATTCAAATTGCCATCAATGGAACAGGGACCTACGATATGATCTCCAACAATTCCTGTCCAAACATTAACCTTTTCAGGGTATTGCGTATGTTCTGTACTCCAGTGAGGATTTTCCCTAGACCAATAGCGGCAATTTTGACTATTAGCACGACCGTGAAGTGTAAAGGTGCACTCATCAGAAAACAAAACATGTTCTAATTGGATCACATTGTTATCTAACATTGCCATCATTTGTTCACAAAAATAAATTCTCCTATCAAAATCGTCTTCCATCAGCTCCTGAGTTAGTTTCATTTTATAGGGATGCATTTTATTTTCTTTTAATACTCGAATAATAATAATCGATGAATGGCTAATATCGAACATTGAGGCTGCTTTTCAACTAGAAGTATGTGGGTTTTCCTCAAACTCAAGCATAATATCCAATTTGGTAGCATCACTTATTGCACTGGCAACTGGCTTTTTGCTAATTGTCCCTTGGGATATAGGCGGCAAATTTGGGAATATTTCATGAAATAAGCGAGCAACTTCTATTTGTGTCCGTATGTTATCTCCATAGCCAATCATTTGTAGAATTGTTATTTTGTGCATTTCTGTTAAATGAACCATTTTTCTGATATGCTGTTAACGAAATTCAAACGACTATAACACTGACAACTACTGTCATGCGGCAGACAACACTTTGCTAAGGCCAGGCGTTAAACAAAACTAAATAAAACTATTTTAGTCCAGGCGCTATCTGTTTCGGGTTGGGTAAAACGCATGTGATCGGAGATTTTTGCTTTAACGGCTTCTAAATAACATCAGAAATGATAATTTTTCTATGCAAAAAAAAAACGTGAGCTTAATTGTTATTGCAAAAAGTATAAAAAATAGCAAAAAAAATCATTTTTTTCTTGGTTTTCTCGTCGACAATTTAGCAACTATTCATTTTAAACAAAAATGGAAAAGGAAAAAAAGTTTTGTAATTAAATTTTGATCAAGATAGAGTTAGTTGCATTTCGAAAAAATAATTATTATTATTGCAAAAATCGGAAAAATCATTTAAAAAAATTGCAAAAAATGCTAGTTTATTTGTCAATTTTTTTCAGACACTTGAATAATACCTAGGATCTTCATACTTTTCCCAATTAAATTTCTTCGTGCACAGAATCATCACACCAAATTTCATCCAATTCGGTTCGATAGTTTTTACATAATACAAATAAACTAGCACTTTTTGCAATTTTTTAAATGATTTTTCCGATTTTTGCAATAACAAAAATTACTTTTTCGAATTGCAACTAACTCTATCTTGATCACAATTAATTACAAAACTTTTTCCTTTTCCATTTTTGTCTAAAATGAATAATTGCTAAGTTGTCGACGAGAAATCCAAGAAAAAAAAATTTTTTTTGCAATTTTTTTATACTTTTTTGCAATAACAATTAAGTCCACGTTTTTTTACTTGCATGGAAAAATGATCATTTCTGATGTTATTTAGAAACCGTTAAAGCAAAAATCTCCGATCATATGCGTTTTACCCAAGTATACCCTTTTTAAAACAGATACCGCCTGGACTATTTATAGTTTTTTTTTATTTCATATCAGTAAAAAGAAACGCCGAAAAGATTTTTGCTTACTTTCTCATTATCAAGAGCTAAATGGGAAATAAGTAGTATCGAGTGTGTTGTAGCGAATTTCTGTAATAAAATAATTTTCTTTTTTTTAATGTTAAGTTTTGCAATAAATCTGAAAACCTATTTCCGAAATAGTTGAAGATAGGTACATGAAATATGTCTAGAATTTTCTGAAGAATCCAAAAATTGAATAATATACAGGGTGTTGCATTTAAAATACGAAAGTTGGTATTGACCACTGTACACACCCTGTATAAAAAGTTTTTGTCAAAAAAATGCGCAACTGAAAATACCTATCGACGTGTCCGAGCGTTTTTTTCGAAAACGCCCCATTTATTTATTATTTAATTTATTCCATTTGGCTGATATACACTATACAACCAACGATAAAGGATGAACAAAATATCAGTTAATTATTCAAAGACTTTGATACCTTTTCCAGTTATCATATCATTTTTATTTTGTACTCCATTATTGTTTATATGAACAATGATATAGTTATATGGTTATAAATGTAGAACTTCTTATCTCCTTTTTTTTCAAAAATTTCATACTAAAGTTATATATACAGGGTGTCGCAGAATATGTAGGCAATCTATCGAATTTATACAGGGGATGTTAAAATATAAAAAATTTCCCTAGAGCGCCCCCCTACGGAGATACAGGCCCCTAAAGGATACCTCTGAAAATTGATTTTAAAATACTTTGTGTAATTTAATTATTTTTTAATATGAAGGGCAACATATAAGACTCCTTAAAAATTGACTCATGAAAAAATTGGCTTATTTGGTTTGCCAGGAACGGACTAGCTGTAGCATAATAATGCCAATTTTTTTTACACCCTTTACGATAAAGGCACAAAAATAATGTTTTTATATAGCTTGAACATTAAACTAAAAAAGGTACTCCTGGTCCTCCTCTTCCTATCCAACGATTTTCGAAATGCCTGTTTAAGTGTTTTCGAACCACCAGACTAAAATGGTGTGGTGCCCCATCATGTAAGAACCACAATTCCATGTCGTATTGCCAAAGGTAGGTCGTCTAAAAGTTTTGGCAAGTTGCCTTGGAGAAATTCCAAATAAAGTTCTAACCTTCTAGGCTATACAAATGGTCCAATAAAATGTTGCCCGATGATTCCAGCCCATACGTTAATGGGTTCAAACTGGTGCTGATGATGTGTCACAATAGAAGCATGTGAATTTTCTTCTGCCCATAAATATAAATTATGCGAACTTATGATTCCATTTTTACAAAATCCAGCTTCGTTCCCAAAGGGAATTGAACCAATGAACAGTATCTATCTAATAGCTAGTTTGAAAATTACATCCTTCGCGGAAAGTTTACAGGAAGAAGTGCATGGACTTGTATGCGATAGGGATGCAATTGTTGCTCTTTAAGGATTCTGAGAACCGCAGATTTTGGGCAATAAACTGGACAGCCAATTTCCGTACACTTTTTGAAGGATCTGCTTCTACGACATTTAGGATATCTTCTTCAGCAACCTAACCACGATTGATTTGATCACAATTGTGTCTGGCTTTGGCAAACGTTCCTAAAATACATCATTTTAATTCTGCATATTTCCTACTCAAAAACTACGCTAATGCATGTAACAAATAAATTGTAATTTTTACCAGTCTCTCTTAAACGTTGATCCACTATATCAAAAGTTTTCCTGTCAGGAATTCTTCGATTTGGAAATCGTTCCTCATAAAGCCTTCTGATTTCTAAGGCATTACATGATGCAAGTCCATACAATAAATGCATTTCGGTATATTCAGCAAACGTAAATTCCATTACGGCAAATAACATATATCCGAGGAATAAAAAAATAAGAAAAATATCACAAGTTTCGACACACTATATCGTTAACTGACAGACTCAGATAGGTATGTACTGTAATTTTTATTTAAATCGGTAAATGTAAAAAAAACTTAGTCAGAAAACAAAGGGAAAACCAAGTGGAAATAAAAGTGGCATTTTCTAGATAGGCACAAAAATAATGAAAATTTCATCGGTATATTTCTCTTTACAGATGTAATAAAAATCATGTTAAACAAAAATAGTTCATTTTATCGATATCAACCGAGAGTATCTTCTTATTAGTTTAAGGTTCAAGTTATCTATAAATATTTTTTTGTTTTTATCGTACAGGGTGTAAAAAAAAATGATATTACTGTGTTATAGCTAGTTCGTCCCTGGCAAATCAAATAAACCAAATTGTTTTCATGGGTAAATTTTTAAAGAGTCGTATCTGTTGTCCATCGTATTAAAAAATAGTTAAATTACATAAAGTATTTTAAAAGTTGTTAAAAAAAAATCGATTTTCATAGACATCCTTTAGGGTCCTGTATCTCTGTAGGGAGGGGGTATCTAGGGAAAATTTTTATAGGAACTTTTCTTATCTTATTTTCTTATATTATGAGTTATTTTAGCGTCCCCTTTATAAATCCGAGAGATTGCCAGCATATTCTGGGACACCCTGTATAATACTTGTTTGTGCGTTCAGATCTAATAATAGTACCTAGTCAGTCCTCCAGTCACATTCTATGGAAAGTAATACAAATATTTGTTTCCGTTAAAGTTGTAATCAACAAGTATCTTCTGTCGCATACTCGTTTCACAAAATTTCATAGCAATTACAGGTACATTTTTTCAATGCGTGTAAATACCAGAAATTAATCCAGTTTTTTTCTTTTTAATCTCTTCCCAGATGTTAGAATGATTCTTCCTTGTATTGTTGCAGCCTAAACTCCAAATTAATCATATTTACCAATAAATAAAAAAATATTGAACATTTATATTTCCTTCCTGTAACTAGTACTGTAACAAATGTAATATAAAAAAAATATTCGAAATATGACGATGGAGATGCTAATATATTTACGGAGATAATATTATCAAACATTCACTTTTGAAAGACTTAAAATGACATTGACATCACGTCAATGTTAGCTTGGAAACGAATTTCATTTCTAAGATTATTAACTGAAATGTAAGACCAGCTGCTACATTTTTATTATTTAATTGAACCACGCACGCACAGAAGTCCTCAATATGTTACAAGTTCAATTTTGTTGGCATTACCCACTTCCATCGGACATCTTAAAATGTAATCACTACTGATTATTTTTGCTTGACCATTATTCACTTCTGAATCATTTGAGGATACCTTAAAATCACGTATGATTACGTTTTATAAACAATCAGTAAACAATACAGACAATGCGTTTCAACAAATTTTTCTCTTTCAGATGTAAGCCCGCACTTGGTGTTCAAAAATGGTATCAACCCAACGCTCTGGCCTCAAGACGTTCCATTTCCACCAGACGAGGGTAAAGAGGAGGTTCAATCTACATATGGGGATGGCGACAACTCCGATAGAACAAGTTGCTTCTCGCCTAATGGCATAGCAGGCAATCTGCAATACCCCGCCTACTTCAAAGACGCTAAGGGCATGAATCATACAGTTTTCGGTGGCGGTACCAATTTTGGCGCCTTACAATACCTGAAACAGCAGCAGCCTGGAAAGAGCGGGCTGCCAGACGTCATCCAACACGGTAGGTCTGCGGGAATGCCACTTTACGTGAGGTGTCCGATCTGTCAAAAGGAATTCAAGCAAAAGTCAACTTTACTGCAACATGGTTGTATACATATCGAATCTCGACCTTATCCCTGTCCAGAGTGTGGAAAAAGGTTCAGGCAGCAGTCACACTTAACCCAGCACCTGAGGATACATACGAACGAGAAACCCTACGGTTGCGTGTATTGCGGTAGGAATTTTAGACAGCGAACAATCCTCAACCAGCACTTAAGGATCCACACGGGAGAGAAACCGTACAAATGCGGCCAATGCGGCAAAGATTTTAGACAAAAAGCAATACTGGATCAACACACGAGGACCCATCAAGGCGACAGGCCGTTCTGTTGCCCCATGCCCAACTGCAGAAGGAGGTTCGCAACGGAACCGGAAGTTAAGAAACACATAGACAACCACATGAATCCGCACGCAGCGAAAACCAGGAGGGACTCGACAGGGTCCGATGGAAAATTACCAGGAAACGGTATGTTACCGAGGGGGTTGACACCTACGACCGTGGTCAAGCCCGAACTGTACTTCCCACAATGCTACGCTCCTAGTTTCAACCCCCCTGCAAGCGTCTCACAATTTCAAACAGCCAACCCAGAATTCAAGCCGCCCAATCCTTTGCCGACCCAGTGACTAACAGCCAGCTGGCAACTGGGTCCTTGTATTGGGTGACCCTTTGCTGGCGTACAGACTTAACCCAACACTTAGCTGCTAAGGACTACCAGTTAGTTAACTTATATTTATTGGTGATTTTTAAGGGAATGTCTACAAGACGTTTCCTGCTGAGTGATTATCACATGGTGCTGTAAGAACCAAGTTGTTGGTAGCTTGTAACATACGGAATGATAGCACATTCAAAAAAATATTCGATAAGTATACATACTATAAATATATGTAAAATGTAAAAGTATTTTGAATTTTAATGAAAATTGTGTCCTGTTCACTTAGTGGCAATACTTTAAGCAAGAAAGTACTTTAATGATTATTATAATATATTATTGTTGTAGTTAGATTTTACTATCATGTGATCTCTTTAATGTAAATTCGCAAGAGAGAAAGATAGAACTGTTTGACGGGTTCTAACTTTTTACAGGAACATCTTATGGTCGGAGAATACCATATTTTTTACAAACATACAATAACCACAAAGAACAACTTTTAAAAAATCATGTGCCTCTTTGGGCATAACTAAGTATTTATCCACAACTCGTTTCGGAAAAATCCTTTAGGCATTTCTTGTTTGCGAATTAATATTTTTCTTACGGTGTATACATACAACCAACAAAGGGTAATGAACGAATTCACTCTCTTAATGTGTACTTGATACAACTAACAACTTATTGTGAGTTTATTATTGAAATTTCAAAAAAAATTTTTAATAGTTTACCTTATTAAGGTAAGGTGATACCTTAGTAAGGTAAGGTAGGTATTACCTTAATAAGGTACCTTAAGTTTAATAGTTTTACCTTTTTTATGAATTTTTGTAATACAGTATTAGAAAACACAATTGAATAATGGAAATCACTAAATTAAAGATTTTTTTTTAATGGAACACCCTATATATTAGTGCATACTTAGTTTCATAAAATATTTCTCTTTTCAAAAATATATAATATGTTACAGTTTGATTCAGGACTTTTCGACATATTTCAGTTTAACACTATTTATGAAAAAACAGGACGGAAATTTATGTCTGACGGATCGCAGTGGCTATGGACGAGGCACGCGGAACAAACAAATGATTTTGACAGAAGTTTATTTAACATCATTAGTTTATTTCCTATAACAAACTATTTTAATAAAGAAATAATGTTTAGTATAGAAAATTTTAATCTGTTTAAGGTGTTCCATTTAAAAAAAAATCTTCTAAATTAGTTATTTCCATTATTTAATTGGTTTTTTCTAATACTGTATTATAAAAATTCATAAAAAAGGCTAAAACTTTTGTATTAAAAACTTTTTTGTAATTTCAATAATAAACTGATAATAAGTTGTCAGATTATAGTGACTAACTCTGCACATTATACCAAACCAAAGCCTGATATTGTCATTCGTCCTGTTATTATAATTTTTGATGATGAATTTTTAGCATTTACAAGATCTGCAGTAGACTTTATACATCCATACACATTATTAACAGACTTCGATGTACTATGGTGAAAGCAAATAAAATGATTTGTGGCGTTCTTTATACCGCATATACATAATGTAATCAAGCGAACGAATTGGATCTTCATTGGACCTTCATTCGTTCGTTCCCTGTACGTATACGGGGTGTCCGGTAAGTATCTACTAACCTCTTGACAGCGTAGGGAAGAGAACATAATATTACTATTTTCTACAATCTTTTTCTAAGGTTCCTTCTAATAGAGAAATTTTGTTGTAAATATGTGTACCTTGGGATTTACGTTTTGGATTTTAACTTTAAAATCACTTTTTTTAACTTTAAAGTGACATTTTGTTAAAATTGTGACGTACATATGAGTGTGCATTTTTTGTATGTTAAGTACATATTACGTAGTACCTAAAAACGGACTAGCCCCAACATAACACAAAAAATCGTTTCTTTTTTCTTTAAAGTTGTAATCTTTGTTTATTAGAGAAAATTATGATTAGGGCCGTCAGAACTGAGAAGCGGGACATAGGCGTACGCATTACTTATTAAAAAACAACAAATAAAATTGTTTACAATACACCACCATAAACACCAACGGATAAGAATTAATTACGCAGCATCCGCACGATAACAAAGCAACAGTATACTAACGTGTCATGAACCTGAAAAGCATTCTGAGGCAGCGGCTCGCGCATGTCTAGGTTGACCCGCTTAGCACGCCACTGAATTGCGACTCTCTCAGACTTAATTATGATTAATAGGTTTTAGCAACTCTAGTAAAAAACAATTATTATATAAACAACAAGAAGTGGAGTTTTTTAATTATTCATGTTTCTTAAATATTCACTTTATAGGTCCACAAACAGTTGAAATAGCTTAAAAGGAAAGAGTTAAATATCAAACATAAATTTTTACTAGGCAATTGTTCAAAATGATGTACACCTCATTTTGAGCGTTTGTTATGCTATTTGTCATATGCTCTTAATCATAGCTAGATAGATCAGGGCCTGTTTTATGGAGACCAAATAAAAAAAAGTACGGAAACCTCATAAATCTTAAGTGAATGTTCATTTTTAATTTTTAAGCTATGACCAATCTTTTTAAAGTTTTTAGGACTTTGGCAAAGTTAAATAAACTAAATGCATGTAACAATTTGCAAAAAAATATATACTTATTCTAGTTGTTGCTGTTCATTTCAAAATCCGATTTATCTCAAAACCCATTTATTTTATCAAAATTCTTATTTTAGACAAAAATCTTTAGATAATATTTTCAGTATAATAACATGACGTCTGTCAAAATTATGAAAACACATAGTTGGGGCCAGTCCGTTCCTGTATATCGTGTAATAGTAAAAAAATATATTTCAATAACAATCATGAGGCTATAGCAAAATTTTTTCAAAATATATTAATTGGTTTTAAAGTTAGAACGCAAAACACGATGGACAACAGATAAGACTTAAAAATTGACTCACGAAAACTATTTGGCTTAGTTGGTTTACCAGGGACGGACTAGCAGTAGCACAATAATGTCAATTTTTTTTACACCCTTTACGATAAAGGCACAACAATATTTTTAAATAGCTTGAACCTTAAACTAAAAAAAGGCATTCTTGGTAAATATCGATAAAATGAAATGTTTTCGGGAAAAAAAACTATTTTTGTTTATCCACAAAGAGAAATAAACCGATTAAATTTGCATTCTTTCTGTGCCTATCTAAAAAATGCTACTTTTATTTACATTTGCTTTTTCCTAAATTAAATTACACAAAGTATTTTAAAAGTTATTTAAAAAACTCGTCCTTTAAAGGCCTATACACTGAGCTCGTAAAGTTTGGAATAAATTCGAAAAATCGTTACTGAAGGGTTTTGACAGGAAATGCTCGGACACGTCAACTTTAGTTTATAAAATGCCACTTTTTTAGCAATCGACTTTTTTTTTGTTTTCTTTGTTTTTGATCTATGACGTCATCGCCAATTTTTTTAAATGGCAACCCATATTTTTTTCCACGGATTTCGATAGAGCACATTTTTCTGAGTACGAATATGTCAAAAACGCATGACCTTCAAGATGGAAGTTTTCGAGATATTCGGTTCCAAAGTTTCAAGAATGCATTATACAAGCGATGACAAAATACTAATCATTTATCAAGGAAACGCTGGAAAAATTACAGTTTTGATAGTTGAAGTTTGTTCTCGCAAGTTTGTGTTTTAAACTGTCTATTATCTCGAAAACTTCCATCTTGAAGGTCGTACGTTTTTGACATAATATTCATACTCCGTAACTGATCATAAAAATTTCGATTCTTTCCCTTTCACTCAAACGACGGACCATTTTCAAATAAAATGAATTCTGATAGAATAATGATTAATCAACTTAAAATAAAACACAAACTTGCGAGGACAAACTTCAACTATCAAAACTGTAATTTTTCCAGCGCTTCCTTGATAAATGATTAGTATTTTGTCATCGCTTGTATAATGCATTCTTGAAACTTTGGAACCGAATATCTCGAAAACTTCCATCTTGAAGGTCATACGTTTTTGACATATTCGTACTCAGAAAAATGTGCTCTATCGAAATCCGTGGAAAAAAATATGGGTTGCCATTTAAAAAAATTGCCGATGACGTCATAGATCAAAAACAAACAAAACAAAAAAAAAGTCGATTGCTAAAAAAAGTGACATTTTATAAACTAAAGTTGACGTGTCCGAGCATTTCCTGTCAAAACCCTTCAGTAACGATTTTTCGAATTTATTCCAAACTTTACGAGCTCTGTGTATGTCCGTAGAGGGGCCTACTAGGGAAAATTTTTATAGGAACTTGTCATTGTTATTTTATCATCCCTGTATAAATCCGAGAGATTGCCCACATATTCTGGGACACCATGTATATGTGTTATTTTGGCCTTACGATACTTCCAATATACTTACAACATACCTAACTGACGAACGAATTCGTTAATTACCTACTATTCGTTTGCTGCATATGTAAATTAAATTTTAGACACTCAAATTTTTAATTTTTATACACAATATTTTAAATACTTAGCTGTGTTCTTTATAATGTTAGTGAGAAGCGTTTAAAAGTTGTCCTTTCAAACAATAGAAATAACTATTTTTATAATAAGTTAACTGACAGTACACAATTTAATTTTACACAGTGTCTTCAATAAAATAGTAAAGATATCCAGTTATACATTAAACTATACGTAAAACAGATAAATGGTGATGGTATTTGAACCCATTCTTTATATGATGCACCGTTTTTATAAATATATATTCTATATATACAGTGTAATTAATTAGAGTTTAACTTTTCTATACAGGGTTTACACACCTATACGGTTATACATAACTAACAATTGAGATGAATTACGAGAAACCACTAAACTTCTCATCATGCCACATGTGGCATTTATTTGAATACGAAATGGAAATAACGGGCACATGCAATATTAAAACTAAGCACCACTTGAATTGTTGAGAAAGAATATAATACATACAATGCGGAT